TTGAGGAGGCCAGCAAAGAGTGTCAGGTTCTCTGGAATTGGAGTTATAGTTGGCTTCGAGCCACCTCATGTGGGTATTGGGAACGGAACCCTGGTCTTCTGCAAAAGCAGCAACCACTAACCATCTCTCCAGCCTCTGATAAATTAATTTGGGGGTGAAGGTTTGAGACAGGGTCTCCCTGTATCCCCAACTGGCCTGGAAGCTGCTATGTTTATGTAGACCAGGATAGCCTCCATCTCACAGAGGTCCATCTGACTCTGCCTCCCAAGCGCTGGCACTAAAGGCATGTGCCACCACACCTGGAAATAAATTAATTTTTTAAAAAATATTTTATGTATCATTTTTATTTTTTTGTTTTATATGTATGAGTGTATTGCCTACATGTATGTGAGTGCACCCGTGTCATGCAATGCCTTGGAGGTCAGAAGAGGGCTTCAGGTTCCCCTGGAACCAGAGTTAAGGACGGTTCGTAGCTGCCATGTGGGTGCTGGGAATCGAACCCGGGTCCTCTGCAAGAGCAGTTAGTGCTCTTAACCGCTGAGCCATCTCTCCAGCCCCTTAATATTTTTTTAATATCTTTATTATTTTTAATAAATTAAAAAATTTTTTGGTCCTTTTGAGACAGGGTCTCCCTGTAACCCCAGCTGGCCTGGAACTCACTATGTAGACCAGGCTGGCCTTGAACTCACAGAGATCCACCTGCCTCTGCCTCCTGAGTGCTGGGATTAAAGGCATGTGCCACCACGCCTGGCCCTAATAAATTAATTTTTAAGAATATGTATGACCTGGGCGTGGTGGTACACACCTTTGATCCCAGCACTCAGGAGGCATAGACAGGCAGATCTCTGTTAGTTTGAGAACTCCTGTCTTAGAAAGATTAAAAAAAAAAAAAACACAACAACAAAACAATGAAAAAGAGCAGATTGGGAAGTCTAAGAATGCTTGCTGATCATTCCATCAGAGTCACCTAGAAAATAGTTAAACTCCCTTAGGGTGGGGACTGTTGGAATGAAGTCATCTGGGTAAACACAACCTAGAGTCTGGACTTCAGACTTGTAAACTCCGGAACTCAGTACCTTCACTGTGATGGTTAGTCTATCTCAACTTGAGTGGGCCCCAGGTTGTTCTTAGCATAAACCGTTTCTAGATATATCCATGAGGGTGTTTCCAGATAAACAGCATTTGAATTGGTAGACTCAGGAAAGCAGATCGCCCTTCTATGAGATGTGCATCATTCAATCCAACTTAGTGTTCTAGGCTCAGAACAAAAAGTGGAGAAAGAGGAATTCCTTCTTTCCATTCCTCCTCACTGCTAACCTAATCTTGACTACTCCCGCTTCAGACTGGGATTTCCAGCTATGGTTTCCCTGGTTCTTAAGCCTCTTGCTCTTGCCTTCTGTGGAACTACTCTACTAGCTTGTCTGGGTGTCCAGTTTGCAGGTGCAGACCATGGAACTTATTAGGCTTTGTACTCTTGAGTCAAATCCTCATCATCTCTATCTGTCTATCATCCATCCATCCATCCATCCATCCATCCATCCATCCATCCATCCATCCATCCACCCACTATTGTTTTCTCTGCAGAACCAATTGCTAGTGACTAAGTCAAAAGAATCAAGTATATAAAAGATAAATGCATAAAATAATATTCATTCCCAAATAGACAAGAATAGTTATGAGCAAAGGACTGAGTATTCCTATGGAAATCAGCACCAAATAAGACCAGGAGAGTATGCAGTGAATATGGAACAAAACCCTGAGAGCAGAGCATGAATGAACTCTTGAGGACAAGGAAGCGCAAAGAGCTCTGAGAAAAAGCTTTCCTAGCTGGGCGTGGTAGGCCTTCCTTCCTTCCTTCCTTCCTTCCTTCCTTCCTTCCTTCCTTCCTTTCTTTCTTTCTTTCTTTCTTTCTTTCTTTCTTTTTCTTTCTTTCTTTCTCTTTCTTTCTCTCTCTCTCTCTCTCTCTTTCTTTCTTTCTTTCTTTCTTTTTCTTTCTCTTTCTCCCCTTCCTTCCTTCCTTCTTTCTTTCTCTTTCTCCCCTTCCTTCCTTCCTTCCTTCCTTCCTTCCTTCCTTCCTTTCATCTTTCCTTCTTTCCTTCTTTCTTTTTGCTGGTTTGTTTGAGAAAGAGTATCCTGGTAACCCCAGCTAGCCTGGAACTCCTATGCAGACCAGGTTAGGCTTAATCTCACAAACCTCCACCTGCTTCTGCCTCCTATTGCTAGAATCAAAGATGTGCTTCACACCAGGTGAGGCCAACCCAGTCTACATAGTGAGTTCCATAGTGAGACCCTGTCTCCAAAACAAAATAAAAGCAAACAAAACAAAACCCCATAACTCTCTCAACTGTGAATTAATGCTACCTAACTCATCATGAGTTACGAAGCTCTTAGCAACTATACACAGCTCCTATAGGAAGCAAAAGGAGGTGGTTAGGGCCAGATGTGGTGGCACATGCCTTTAGTTCCTAGCACTTGGGAGGGAGAGGCAGGCGGATCTCTGCGTTCAAGACCAACCTGGTCTACATAGCAAGTTCCAGGCCAGCTGGGGATGCAGGGAGACCCTGTTTGTGTGCGTATGTGCGTGTGTACTAAAGTACTATGACATGTATGTGGAAGTCAGAGGATACCTTACAGGAGTCAGTTCTTTCCCTTTTACCATGTGGATTCCAAGGACTGAACTTAGGTTGACAGGCTTGGTCACAAGTGCCTTTACCCACTGAGCCATCTAGCCAAACTTTTTTTTTTAATTTTTATTTATTTTTATGTGTATCTGTATGTTTTTTTTAATGTGTATGCATGTATGTAAGTACATCCATGTTGTGCAATGTCCGAGGAGGTCAGAAGAGAGCATTGGATCCCCTGGAACTGGAGTTGGTTGGAACTGGATGAGTCTTGGTAGCTGCCATGTGGGTACTGGGAATCGAACCTGGATCCTCTGCAAGAGCAAGCTGTGCTCTTAACTGCTGAGCCATCTCTCTAGCCCCAGAGAAAGTTGTTTTGTTTTTATGAGACAGGGTCTTAGCCCAGACTGGCCTCAAACTTGCTTTGTAACTGAGGATGACCTTGAACTTCTGATCCTTCTGCCTCTACCTCACTTGCTAGGATTACAAGCAATGCCATCATATCCAGCATTAGACATTTTACTCACATACATTTTACTGATCCTCTATAGCTCTGTGGAAGGTTGATCTGTTTATTTCTAAGTGTTTAGAACAGATCTTCGTGAGCTCAAGACCAGCCTGGTTAACATAGTGAGTTCCAGGACAACTGGGGCTACAGGGAGACCCTATCTCAAAAAGATCCCCGCCCCCAAATCTGCATTTTAAAGCTAAAAATAAAACCCAGAATGACAGAATGGAGAGGAACTCCCTACACAACTGACACAGGACTGGGTTTTGCTGAGAGGTGCTAAACAGGCTGATGGGACAACCCCTCCCATACTTTTAGTCTCTTTTCTCTTTTCTTTCTTTCTTCCAATCCCCATCCTTTTAGTCTCTTTTCCCCCTCCCTCCCTCCCTCCCTTCCTTCCTCCCTCCCTTCCTTCCTTCCTCCCCCTCTCCCTCTCTCCCTGTAGCTCCAGCTGGCCTGGAACTCCCTATGTAGACCAGGATGACCTTGAACTCACAGAGATCCAGCTGCCTCTGCCTCCTGACTTCTGGGATTAAAGGAGTGTGAGACCACACCTTCTCTATTCTTTGGCAGGGTCTCACACAAGCTGGCCTTGAACTTACTGATTCTCCTGCCTCTACCAGTTTATGTGGTATTGGGGATTCAACTCAGGGTTTTGCACAAGCTAGGCATGCATTCTACCAGTTGGGCTACATCTCCAGCCCTGATTTTAGTCTCTTTTTCTCTGGGCTAAACACACCTCATACCTTCATGTATCATTTGTGGGGCAGCCCAGAAGAGGCTCCTCAAAATCAAGGATCTCAAACTGGCCATGGCTGTCAGATGATCCTAGTAGTTGAAATTCATAATCATTTATTTTCAGGATGATGAAATGGCTCAGTGGGTAAAAGCACTTGCTGCCAAGCCTGACAACTTCAGTTTGATCCCCAGGACTGGTGAAAGAAAAGTGAGTCTCACAGGCTGCCTTCTGATAGGACAACCCCCAATCCCCCTGATTCACCCACCCCCATTCCCCTGACCCTACATATATAATAAATGTAATTTTAAAAAAAATTAAAGACTGGCATGGTGGCACACACCTTTAATTCCAGCACTAGGGAGTTTCAGACCCACATGGTCTACATAGAGTTCCATGCCAGCCAGGACTACATAGTCAGACACTGTATCAAAAAACCAAACCAAAGCAACAACAAAAAACAATAAAACTCAAAACAAAACAAAATTACTTTAAAAAAATAAGTATTTATTGCCTACTATATTCCAGGCACTGAGATTGTAGGCATTGAAACACCTTCTGCCCTAAAAGAGCTACGTATAGTTGCTAAGATTCACAGTTCACCGCAAATTAAGTAGCGTTAACAGTTGACAGCAAAAGTTTTCAAAATTTTAATAACCACATAGTTAGAAGCATTTCATTACAACAACACTGACATGGTCAATAACAACAGCAAAAGTTTAAAAAAAAATAGTACAAAATTGCCGGGCGTGGTGGTGCACACCTTTAATCCAGCACTCGGGAGGCAGAGGCAGGCGGATCTCTGTGAGTTCAAGGCCAGCCTGGTCTACATAGTGAGTTCCAGGAAAGCTGGGGCTACAGGGAGACCCTGTCTCAAAAAGACCAAAAAAAAAGTGCAAAATTGAAAGGTTTGGTGAACCCTAGCAAAATAACATCCCGTTTATTCTATCCGAGGCCAAGAAACTAACAGGAACTCAGGCACTAGGTAGCTCAGGACTCACAACTTTCAAGGTCCTGGGCGGAGCCAGCCCTGCACACCGGCGCCACGACCCGGTCCCGATTCCCATTGGCTGAGACGGGAAGCGGTGATCCAATCCCCATCGACCTTGACGCCCTCCTCTTGGGATCACTTCCGCCGCTGGGGTCAGTTTCCGGCCCGCGTGCCCCGCATCTCTCGTACCGCTGCAGCCAAGATGGAGGAGTACGCGAGGGAGCCTTGGTGAGCCGAATCTGCTGCCCTTACTCTCCCTTCTCCCCCTCCGCCGGCGGTCGTTCTGTGGCCGAGGTGCGGGCCGACCTCCGTCGGGCTCGGCTAGGGCTGGGCGGCGCGGACCTGAGCGGCCGGTGGGTTTTCAGGGCTGTGCACCGGAGTCTGCAGCCCCGTGACCTTGCGGTGCCCTGCGAAGAGGTCCAGGCTTGGGCTTGGTGGAACCCTGGACCTCCTCCCCACGCAGGCGCTGTCGACCTTATGCTGGGCAGTAGTGATCCCTCTGGCCCGCTGAGCTGACCTTGGATGTGTCCCTAGGCCTCGCTTTGGGTCGAGGAAGAGAAGAAAGACCTGAGTGCCATCCTTGAGCCCTTGTTTGAATGGTGATAGTGTCCCCAGGGTGACGCATTTCACAGGAGTAGAACGTAGACTTCATCCAAAGTCCAAAGGATCGAGTTCCTTGTAGACTGGAGCGTGTTTTCTTGGGTGGTATTATCCTATCCCCTGGAGAAAAAAGAGAGGCAAAATAATAACTGGAAAATAGGAAGACATTAGCTGAATGTGTTCTCTGAAAAGCCATGTCGTTTGTTGAGCAAGGGTTCTGCTTGATTCAGGATTAAAAGCATGTGTAAGTCAGGCCACAGTAAGACAGTTATGAAATGGTGTAATAGCTGTTGAATCTCAACCTGTTGGAGCAGAGCTTCTGGGGTTGTAAGCAAATGATTAAATCTTGGTATTTAGATTAATCAGCTGTCTTTGTTTTGATTTTGTTTATAAAGAGAAAGAATTAGGTATCCTCAAGTTGTGCAAGTGCCAAGGACTTTATATTATTCCTTGCTGGCAATAATCTGCTTGCCTGCTTTTGCTCTCCACTTGGAAAGATACATTTCAACACCTCTTGTCTCCTCAAGCTTTGCTCCTTCAAAGATAGTTATCTCCTTCCTGTATTGTGTTTAGATATGCACAGTTCATCCGGGCTATAAATTACCACTGGATTTGGAATAATGACAGATTGGCAGGAGGGGTCATTTTGTTGCATTGAAGATTTTGTGAAAGTAACAGATTTTTCCCCAGGTCAGGTGGCACAAGCCTGTGTAATCCCAGTCTTGGGAGGCAGAAACAAATTTGAGGCTAGCCTGGGCTACAGAGTAAAATTTTGGTTCAAAAGAATATTTTCAGGCTGTGCCTAGAGGTGCATGTCTTCAATCTCTGCCCTTGGGAGCTAGAGGCAGGTGAATATGAGTTCCATGCAAGTCAGAGCAGCACGCTAAGAGCCTGTCTAAAAAGGAACAGGGGGAAATAGAATCAGTGCAGTGGCACATGCCCTCAATCTTAGCACTTGGGTTGAAGCAAGGGGATTGCCCATTCCAGGCCAGCCTAGGATACATAGCAAGACCCAATGTGGGTTCTGGGAGCCAAACCTGAGTCTATTGCAAGAACAGTATCTGCTTTTAACTATTGAGCCATCTCACCAGCCCCAGTAATAACTTTTTAAAAATTCATTTATTTTGACTTTATGTGTATGAGTATTTTGCCTGCGTATTGTAAGTGCACCACATACAAGCCTAGTGCCCTTGGAGACCAGAAGAAGGTCTGGGATTCCCTGGAACTGGAGTTAGGGATAGGTGTTAGCTGTCGTATGGGTGCTGGGAACTGAACCTGGGTCTTCTGAAAGGGTAGTAAGTGTTCTTAACTACTGAGTCATCTCTCCAGCCCCTAACATTCTTTCTTAAAGAAAGGAAATTAAGAGAGCTGGGCATGGTGGTGCATACCTTTGATCCCAGAGGCAGGCAGATCTCTGTGAGTTCAAGGCCAGCCTGGTCTACATAGCTAGTTCCAGGCCAGCTGGCACTAAGGGAAGACACTGTCTCAGAAAAGAAACTTACCGTATCCTTTTCAGGCTGTTAAGTACTGCTTCTTAGATTTAAAGTGTAACCCAGTCACCTGTAGATTATATTAAAATACAAATTCTGGTAGAGCACTAGTCTAGCATGTGCAAGGCCTTAGATTCAATCCTCAATACTAGGAGTTGGGGGGATATTCAAATTCAGTAGGAAGGGGGTAGGCAAGGATCCGCCTTTTTATTTCAAATAAGCTCCAGGGTGTTGTTTTGGTTTTGGTTTTGGTTTTTTTGTTTTTTGTTTTTTGTTTTTTTTTGAGACAGGGTCTTCCTGTAACCCCAGGTGGTGTGGAACACACTATGTAGACCAGGCTGACCTTGAACTCAGATATTTGCCTGCCTCCCAAGCGCTGGGACTAAAGGCGTGCGCAACCACACCGGGCTTGGTTTTTACTTCTTATAAATATGAATTTAACTACTCAAAGACCTTTTGCCATTAACTTTAGACTTTGTTGTAGAATTGTTTGTAAATCTGCTTGTCCAAATAGATAGGAACATTTAATTTTACTTTATTTCATTTTTAGAAATTGGATTTTTATGAGTGTTTTGCCTGCATGTATGTGGATGCACCACATGTGTGCAGTGCCCATGGAAGTGAGAAGATGGCATCAGATTCCCTTGAACTTGAGTTAGGTGGTTAATAGCTGCCACGTGGGTGCTGGGAACTGAACCTGGGTCTTCTGAAAGAGCAGCCAGTGCTCTTAACCACTGAGCCATCTCTCCAGACCAAACTTCCATCCATCTTGATAGTAATAAATGACTTAACAGTGCTGGAGATGCTGTATATATCAGGTCCTAGGTTCAGTACATACTTTTTTTTTTCTTTTGAGACAGGGTCTCATGTAGTCCTAGCTGTCCTGGAACTTGGGATATATACACCAGGCTGGCTTCTAACTCAAAGGGATGGGGCCTGTATCTGCTTCCCACTTGTTGGGATTAAAGGTGCCCAACCTTGTCTGTTTGCGACACGGTCTCCCTGCAGCCCCAGCTGGCCTGCCTGGAACTCTCTTTGTAGACTAGGCTGGCTTGGAGCTCACAAAGATCCAGCTGCCTCTGCCTCCCAAGTGCTGGGACTAACGGCACATGGCAACTTTTATAAGCCAGATCCTAGAGTAGTTTTGATTTTGGAAGCTGGATTTACAAATATACTTCCAATTATTGAATATTATTCTAGTGTCTTAAATGGCTCTGATGTACACTTAAGTTCAAAATGCTATTTTGAGGGGCTGGAGAGATGGCTCAGCAGTTAAGAGCACTGACTGCTCTTGCAGAGGACCTAGGTTTGATTCCCAGCACCCACGCAGCAGCTACGAACTGCCCTTAACTCCAGTTCCAGGGGATTCTGAAGCCCTCTTCTGACCTCCGCAGCATTACAGGACACAGGTGCACTCACATACATGCAGGCAATACACTCATACACATAAAAATAAAAATAATAAGGCCGGGCGTGATGACGTGGAGGCAGAGGCAGGCGAATGTCTGCGAGTTCAAGGCCAGCCTGGTCTACATAGTAAGTTTCAGGACAGCTGGGGCTACAGGGAGACCCTGTCTCAAAAAGACCAAAAAAAAAAACCAACAACTAACTGCGTCTTGGGGCCACTCTGATCTCTGGAAAATTGAATGGATATTATTGACTACAGAGTAATTGTTTGTATTTATTTGCTTTTCATGGTGTTGAACTTGTAACAGACTTTTACAGGCCAGACATTTATTGGTTGTAGTGGGCTAGGCTTTAGAACCTGTTGCATTCTTTCATAAGTTAAGTGCAGGTTTTATGGTTTATGAATGAGAAAAAAGATCATCTTTTTTTTTCTTTCTGTTTTTAGTCCCTGGCGAATTGTGGATGACTGTGGTGGGGCCTTTACCATGGGCACCATAGGTGGTGGTATCTTTCAAGCCATCAAAGGTTTTCGAAATTCTCCAGTGGTAAGTAGGAATCACTGGAAACCAGAGTTGGTTAATATTACTGGCAGTCCCATCATGGGGTTAGAAATGCATTGCACTTATGATGTGTTATGTTCTAGATCACTTCCTCTACTTTTGTTTTAGGGAGTAAACCACAGACTACGAGGAAGCTTGACAGCCATTAAAACCAGGGCTCCACAGTTGGGAGGTGAGCAGAGTATTTCCTTTTATATAGACTGTTTCTGTTTACTTGAACATGGGACTATACCTGTCCGTGTGTCTCTGTCTGTCCCTTCTCCCCCTCCCCCTAAGATCTCAAGATCTTCCTGCCTCAGCTTCCTAAGTGCTGAGATTACTGGAATTTAGCCACTAAATTATGGCGTTTTGTTTTGTTTTCAGATGAATGATTTTCATTGGCTCTAACTGCTTGTGACAGTCTAGTATCCGTGTAGGTTCTTTTTGGTGGCTGGTTTGCTGGTTTGGAAAAATAACTTGGATTCTTGCATCTTTTAAAAAATTTTGTGGAGCTGTGGTGGTGGTGCACCCCTTTAATCCCAGCACTCAGGAGGCAGAAGCAGGCGGACCCCTGAGTTCAAGGACAGCCTGGTCTACATAGTGAGTTCTAGGCCAGCTGGGACTACAGGGAGCCCTGTCTCAGAAAGACCAAGAAAAAAAAAAATTTTTTTTTTGGTCTATGTCATTCACGTATTCAGTGTTGTGTTGTTTTAATCTGCCCCCTACCCCCTTTCCTGAAAGAAGACTGTTTTAAGCTCATATTTGGAGAGTTTGAAATGGTAGTTTCTATGGGTAGCTTAATGCTGAAGAGAATGTGGTCTAAAGGATCAGAGAAACCAAACTGCTTGGGCTTTTCTCCCAGGTTAGCTTTTCGGCATTGTACAGAAATCAGTGCAAAATTTTAGACGATTATAAAAATGCTGCATTTATAAAACTTAGTTATTCAGAAGCTGGAAGGAGAGGACAAAAAAGTGTGGAAATTATATTCACAGACAAATTAGAGACACTTGACTATTTTCCCTAAGTTGGGGGGAAAAACACTTGTCATTCCTAAGAAATAAACAAATGAGGGGCTGGAGAGATGGCTCAGTGGTTAAGAACACTGGCTATTCTTGCAGAATACCCAGGTTCTAATCCCAGTACCCACATGGCAGCTAACAACTGTCTGTAACTCCAGTTCCAGGGGATCCAACAGCCTCTTCTGTCCTCCTCAGGCATTGTACAACACAGGTGCACTTACCTACATGCAGGCAATACACTCATACACATAAAATTAAAATAATAAGTAAAATACATATATAAAAAAAGAAATAAACAAATGAATGGGGTAATTCTTCTCCGTGTAGACAGTGTATCTTTCTCCCAGGGCACAGAATTGCTGAACAACTTTTTATTTTTTAAATATTTTATTTGTTTTTTTTATTTTATTCTATGTGTGTGAGTGTGTTGCCTACATGTATGTAAGTGTACCTGTGTTATGCTATGCCCTTGGACGTCAGGAGAGGGTGTCCGATCCTGAAACTGGAGTTACGGGAATGGTTCTCTACAAGAGGACCAGCCTCCTGCCATCTCTCCAGTCCACGAACAACTTTTTGAATGTAATATGGGATATCTAATATTGGACCAAAAATGAGGTAGCTTGTCTAATATTCAGCTGGTACTACTGGAGTTTACCAGTGATGTGGGAACTAGGAAAAGCTCTAAAAGAGTGATTTAGGACTGGAGAGATGGCTCAGTGGGAAAGAGCACCTACTGCTCTTCCAGAGGTCCTGAATTCAGTTCCCAGCTACCATATCAGGCAGCTCACAACCACCTGTAACTCCATCTTCTGGGGAACCTGACACTTCTGGCCTCTACAGACACACACACAGACATGCATATACATATAATTTAAAAGTAATTTACAAGCCAGTCATGGTGGCACACGCCTTTAATCCCAGCACTTGGGAGGCAGAGGGAGGCAGATCTCTGTGAGTTCAAGGCCAGCCTGGTCTACATAGTGAGTTCCAGGACAGCTGGGGCTACAGGGAGACCCTGTCTCAAAAAAACAAAAAAAAAAGTAATTTACATATTTAAGTTTTTTTTTAATTTATATATGTACAGGTACCCATGGAGGCTAGATGAGGATGTTGGATTCCCTGGTGCTAGAGTTACAGGCAGTTGTGCCCTGAGTTATGAACCGTCTGACGTGGGTGTAAGCTCAGGTCCTCTGCAGGGGCAGGAAGTGCCCTTAACCAATGAGCCATCTCTCCAGCCCCAAGATATTTTAATACAGGCTTGAAGTGGCAATGATTAGTAGAAAGAGGCACACTGAAGGAAGTAAGACATACCCAAGAGTATTAGCATATTTCTAAGAGAAATCCAGTCTGGCCTCAAACTTGTGATCCTCCTGCCTCTGAATTCCTGAGTGCTGAGTTTATAGGTATGTGTCACTGTGCTTAGCCCTGGCTTGTTTCTTTCAACTTTAGGCCATTTCTAACTTTTCAGATGATAAAATAATAGTGTAAGCTTTATCCAAAAGATAAGTATTCTGATTTTGGTTCAGTGTTTATTCAGACTTACATGTTTGTGCACACAGGTTTGAAGTATGAGGGTTAGAGAATATAGTAAATTCTATTAAACTTTTTTTTTTTTGGTCTTTTTGAAACATGGTCTCCCTGTAGCCCCAGCTGGCCTGGAACTCACTATGTAGACCAGGCTGGCCTTGAACTCACAAGATCCACCTGCCTCTGCCTTCGAAGTTCTGGGACTACATATTTAAACTTTTTTGTTTGTTTTGGGTTTTTGCCACAAAAGTCTCAGTGTAGCCTAAGCTGGCCTCTAGCTTACTATGTAGCTGAGGCTGGCCTTGACCTCCTGATCTCTGGTTTCCACCTCCATAGTACTGGGACTCTAGTTGTGTGCCACCATGCTGGACAAACTTACTAATGACTATAATGTTTTTAATATAAGGTGAAAATTTTAAACTTAAAAAAAATTATTTTAAAAATAGGTAGCTTTGCAGTGTGGGGAGGACTGTTTTCTATGATTGACTGCAGTATGGTTCAAGTGAGGGGAAAAGAAGACCCCTGGAACTCCATCACCAGTGGAGCCTTGACAGGAGCCATCCTGGCAGCAAGAAGTGAGTGATTGCTGCAGTGTTGTGTTTGTTTTGTATGTTGTAGGGCTATGGCTTGAACCTAGGGCCTTACACATGGTCCAAAAGTGCTTTACGACTGAGCTATATCCCCACCCATGTGGATATACCAGTGGAAGCCAGGCTTTTGGAACAACCTCATCTACTGTAAGAAATGAACCTGAGCATTGCTTTTTATAGCATGAATATGTGTGTGATGATTTGAAGAATCAGTAAGGGACTCTTGAGAGTGGAAGAGTACAGAGGTTTGTTAGCTTTATGATGTTGGAGGAAGCACAGCGTATGGAGGTTAGAAGACAACTTGGCAGGAGTCCGGTCTCTCCATTATGTGGGTTCTGAGGATCAAACTTAGGTTGTTAGGCTCAGCAGCAAGTGACTTAACCTGCTGAGCCATCTTGCCAACCCTGTTTGTTTAATTTTGGGGAGGCATGTGTCACAGCAGGTATATGGAACTCAAGAGAATAGGTCATTAGGCTTGGTGGTAAGCACCTTTACCTGCTGAACCATATCACTGACCCAGTAATAATTATTTTGCACCTTATGGACTACATGATCTTGACAAGCTAATCAGCTTTGTTAGCACACAAGTAATGTATATATGTAAGAACATGGCTATGTTCCAATATATCTCTTTTTTTTTTGGTCTTTTTGAGACAGAGTCTCCCAGGCTGGCCTTGAACTCACAGAGATCCGCCTGCCTCTGCCTCCCAAGTGCTGGGATTAAAGGCGAGTGCTACCACGCCCTGCACAATTATATCTTTATTTACAAACATGGGCAGTGGCCTGGAGTTCATAGCCACTGTTGATTGACTGTGGACATTGGACAGTGAAAGCATTTAGGGATGAAGGAAAATATAACCAAATGTGTAGTCCTTTCCTTTAAAGTAATCTTTGTTATTCCTCTCTTCAGATGGACCTGTGGCCATGGTTGGGTCAGCTGCGATGGGTGGCATTCTCCTGGCTTTAATTGAAGGAGCTGGTATCTTGTTGACAAGATTTGCCTCTGCACAGTTTCCCAATGGTGAGTCTTTCTTCTTAATGTTCTAAGTTCATATACTTTGGAATGGTTTCCTTACATTAAGAAGGAATGTATTTTGGGCCTGCAGAGACAGCTCAGAAGTTAAGAGCACTGGCTATTCTTGCAGAAGACCCAGCTAATAGCTGTCCATAACACCAGCTCCAGGGATCCAGTGCCCACTTCTGTCTTCTGAGGGGACTGCACAACATGGGTGCATTTACATACGTGTAGGCATTTCATGTAATGCCTCATACACATAAAAGTTAATTAATTAAAAAAGAATGTATTTTGTCTGCTAAAATAGGGTAGTTTGTGAGTTCTTCATGGCCTGACATTTGATATCTGTCCATTCTGGAGCATCTGGGAAGCTAGTCTGTCATGATATGACAAACCTGAAGGGTCCATAGACTGTCATAGGAATTAGACAGGTCTCTATATTCAGATGACAGCTCTAGTGTAGCATGTAACTTTGGAGTTGATGGTTTGTTTTCTAATTATATAATACTCTTTTTAAAGTACTTTTATTTCTTAATTGCAGGCCCTCAGTTTGCTGAAGACCACTCCCAGTTGCCTTCAAGCCAGTTACCATCCTCACCTTTCGTGGATTACCGACAGTACCAGTAGGACTTCTTTCCCAGGGTTTCTCTAACTGGATGAGCTGTAGGTCAAGAAGGATTTCAGATCATGTTACAGTCTGTTTAAAACTGGAGGTGGGACAACTGTGGCAAGAGCCATGAAGAGACATTTTAGAACTTTGTGTAATTCAAAGGGACATGGAGGGGGAAAAAAAGATACTGCATTTATTTATTCACACTTGGATTGCATTTGTGATCAAAATAAATGTCTAATACCATTTAAAGAACATGTAAGTGCTTAGAAGATGAAGGACCAAAGGGCAGATAACAGTGAAACAGGACCATCATTCCCTTGGGGACTTCAGCCTGGGTTTTTTGTGTACAGTTATTCAGACAATAAAGCTCCTGGGACGTAACAGTTCCTTTCAGAGTTGTAGAGTTCTACTTTTCATACTGTGCATACTTCAGATAAGGCGTGTTTTACACCAGCCCCTCTTGATGTAAACTACAGATGAGAAGAATTATGCAATCAGCACGAATCACTTCACAGGGAAAGACTTTATGGATTGAAAGATTTGCCAAAATGTTCATCTTTTGCTTTGAAAGCAAAGTGTTGTCTTGTTTTGTAGATGCTAGATATAAAGCTCTTTTACTTTACGGTTACTGTGTCTTGATTCCTGGCCATCAGAGACAACTTGCTTCCAGTATACCCAATTCTATAAGAGAATAATTCTTACGAGGAATAATTTGGGGCATACTGAGTGCTTGAAAATTGTGCTGGATAATTTTAAGGACGGGCATGGTCATACTTATAATCCCATCACTCAAGAGGCTGAGGCAGGAGAATTCATGTCTAGGCCAGTTTGGGCTACATAGTAACACAGCCTCAAAAAATCAAACAGAGAAAGAGAAGAAAATATATATTATTTTTAATGTATTCCAAGTTCCCTGAAGTTGATCTATCATTATAAGCATTTGTAATTGTGTATTTCAGTGGCATGTAAACATAAGCATGATGTTTAGCCATCAGCATTATATGTACTCAAAATGTTACCACCAGGTTTGGCTGTAATCTAGCACTTGGAAGGCAGAGGCAGGAAGATCATGAGTTCAATGCTAGCCTAGGCTAAAAAGTTTGTCAAGGCCAGCCTGATTTATGTGAGACCCTCTCTCAAAACAACGAAAGTTATCGTCACTTATAAAAACTCTATAACCATTAAACAATAGCTTCCCATTATCCCTATTCTCAACCTCTGGTAACCATAATTCTGCTGTTTGAATTTGTCTATTCAAGGTGGAATCATATGGTATTTATTCTGGCTGTCTTAATTCACTTAGCATGACATTTGAAGGTCTGTTCATACTGTAAACTTTATTTCTATGCCTGAATGACTCCATTATGTGTATACACCACATGCTGTTTATTAATTCAACTACTGACGGTATGAGTTGTTTTTTATTTTCAGCTGTGGTGAATTATATGCTGCTATACAAATATTCATTTGAGTCCCTACCTTTAGCTCTCTTGGATGTATACCTAGGATTAAACTTGCTAGGTAATATGATAGTTCTATGTTTAACTCTGAGGAGCTGCCAAACTGTTTTCTCCAATGGCAGCACCATTTTAATATTCTCAGGAGCAATGTAAGACAGTTCTCATTTCTCCATATCCTTGCTAACATTTGTCATCCTCCCCACCCTCCTATGCTGGGGACTAAATCTGTGCACTCTTTTTTATGCTAAGCGTGCACTCTAGCATTGAAATCTTCCCCCAACATTCCCTTAAAGTTTTTATTTTTTTTTAATATTATGTGTATAAGTGTATTGCTTATGTATATGTAAGTGCCACCTGTGTTGTGTAATGCCCATGGAGGCCAGAAGACAGTGTTGTATCCCCTGGAACTGGAGTTTTGGAGAGTCAGGAACCATATGGGTACTGGGAACCGAACCTGGGTCCTCTGCAAGAGTCATCCCTCCAGGTCGGTCGGTCGGTCGGTTGGTCCTGTCCCATAATGTCCATCCCCCCACCCTCCAACCCTCTGTGAAGTTTAAAACTTGTTTTGTTTTGGACTTTGAGACAGGGTCTCCCTGTAGTCCCAGCTGGCCTGGAACTTGCTATGTAGACCAGGCTGCCCTCAAACTCACAGAGATCCACCTGCCTCTCCCTCCCCAGTGCTGGGACTAAAGGTGGACACCACCTTTAGTTTATTTGTATTTTATGTGCATGAGTGTTTTGCCTGTTGTGTGTATGTCAGATGCATGCAGTACCCACAGAGGCCCAGAAGAGGGAGTCAGATCCCTAGAACTAGAGTTAACTGATGGTTATGAACTGCTATGTGGGTGCTAGGAACCAAATTCAGGTCTACTGCAAGAACAGCCAGTGCTCTTAACTGCTGAGCTACCTCTCCAGCCCCTGCCCCACCCTCCTAAAAACATTTTAATATTCATCCTAGGGTATACCATTGTGTTTAGTTCTAGTTCATTGTGCCTGTCATTTGTATTTCTCTAAAAACTAATGAAATGGAGGTTGTTGGCCATTCGTGTGTCATCTTTGGGAATAATGCTTTAAGTGTGTAGCTCTTCAGCCACAAAGCTAAATACAAAGAAATGTCAGAAAAGCATTCCATTAGCAACTACAATTGCAAAGATGTCTTAAATTTCTTTTAAATGTCATGTCAGTTTGGAATTCTGATTATTTGAGGCTGGTTTACATGTAATGCTGATCATGTTATTGGTTAATTCTGAGGTCTTCAACCTAGCATACCTGAATTGTTTTGTTTTGAGACAAGATCTTACTGTATAACCCAAGCTGTCATAGAACTTGTGAGCCCTCTGCCTTGGCCTCCTGAGTAATGAATGAGGTTGGAGGCATCCCCACCACACCCCACTGAGCATTCTTTTTCTTTTCTTTGTGACACTGGGGAAATAACCCAGGGCTTTGCTCATGCTGGGCAAGCACTTTACCACTGAGCCATCCACAGCCCCCAGGCAATTCTTGATTACAGATGGATTTTGGTGGGGGCGGGGAATTTGGATGGGGGTAGGTGAAAGATAGAAAATGAGGTTTTTGAAACTTTACATTTTCTTCTACCACATGCAGGATACGAAGTGGAAACCAGATTGAAAACCTTTCCAGTTATGTTTCCTAGGCTTCCTGGCTCTGCCTGGTTGATGGCCCTCCTCCTTTCACCCTGTAGTAACAGGCTTTCCATCACAGTGCTCCATGGAGAGGGAAATGGGTGGCATGGATCTATTGCATACCTTCATAAAGATTGTTAGAGTACCTGCCTAGCACACATAGAGTCTGGGGTTCCATTCTGAGGACTGCATAAAACTGGGCATAGAGTTGCATGTTGTAATCCAAGCATCTGGAGGTAAGATCAGGCGTTCAGGGTCATCCTCTGCTGAATAGTGAGTTCAAGGCCAGCTTGGGATGAGACCCTGTCTCAAATAAAAATCAATCAATCAAAACAAAATACTGATGACATTTTTGATAGATATCCTAAAGGTAAGTTTGGTAGAGCCCAGGATAAAGAAAATCAAAATAATTTTGATTAATTGGAGAAACAAGCAGATGGGCACAAGGTTCCCTAAGTGTTTCCTGGAATATCAGAATTAGTTCCTTAACTAAACAGTTGAAATGCCCATCAGAAAGAAGAGAGAATTTCTGAGTCCAGGTTTAACACCTGCTATTGCAAAAGCATCTATTTTTAACACACTGAATGCCTGCAGACCATAAAAGTGGTCATAGCTCCACCCTGTGGTGTGTTTTAGATAAAACTCATTATAAGCTGAGGAGTTCAGTTGGTAAAGCGTGGCAAGGAAGCTAGAGGACCTGAGTTTGGATTGCCAGGGTGGTGAGGTGGAGACAGGAGAATTCTCAAAGTTCTCTGGCCAGCTAGTTAACTAATTGGTGACCTCTGGGTTCAGTGAGAGACCCTGTCAAAAAAAAAAAAAAACGATGGGAGTGTGAGATGGCTCAGCAGGTAAAAGCACTAGCCATACAAGCCTAACAACCCACATAAAAAGCCAAGTGCAGCTGGGTGTGGTGATGCACACCTTTGGTCCCGGCACTTGGGAGGCAGAGGCAGGAGGATCTCTGTGAGTTCAAGGCCAGCCTGGTCTACATAGTTGCAGGCCAGCTTGGACTACAGGGAGACCCTGTCTCAAAATGACCAAAACATAAATAAAAAGCCGAGTGCAGTGATGTTCATCAGGAAGCCCTTGGGCCAAGTAGCCTGAAGTATGCAGTACAGCAGCAGAAATGAGAGATCCTCAAAGAAGAAAACCAATTCCCAGAAGTTGTCCTTTGACCTCCATGTTTGCATCCATACTCCATAGACTAAAAAATATTTTAAAATACAACGTCTGGAAAAAAAAATCCAAAAGTGGAGAGCAATAGAAGCCTTTATGCTTACACACACACACACA